CCCGTCCCTACCCTGGCCTGCCCGTCCCTGCCCTTGCCTGCCCGTCCCTGCCTACCTGCCCGACCCTGCCCGAACCTGCCCGACCCTGCCCGAACCTGCCCGACCCTGCCCGAACTTGCCCGACCCTGCCCGACCCTGCCTCTGCAGCGAACCTGTGCAGCCCGTGACACACCACCACTGCCCTAGCCATGCCATTGACTGGGCCTGCATGCCTATCCCTGCCCTCACCATGTCGACCCCGCCCTTTGTCTTACCATGCCCGTGCACGCCTCCCTTCCAGTGCACACCTATCTCCTCTAGAACCCTCTCCCGCCGCCTAGCCTCCATTGAGGCACCACGCTCCAACCAAGTGGGCGCCATGCAGATGCACCCACGACGTTTATTGTAGCAAACCCCAGCATACCCACTCACCCCATACAATGCAAACGCCACCTTGTACAGATATACGACCAGCACAGTGCCCGTCAGATGGTGGGCATATGCAACGGCCATGAACATGTTGGTGCAACCCTATGGCTTGCACTTGGCTTGTCGTCCTTATTTATATGTGTGCATGCATGGCATGGAATGACTTGTGAGTCTATGTCATTGCTATCGAGGGCTTGTGTGTGTGTTTGAATGGTGTATCACAACGTGGTCTGTGTCGGTCAAGACATTAGCGAGTTTTCACAACTCGCATGTCAAGTCGTCGTTTGCATGTCGCATGTGTTTTTCTATTTTGTCGAGTGTGAAGTGTCCATCGCGTTGTAGGTGTGTGCAGCAAGCCCTCATCACTTCAAGAAGAATTTATCTTGCAGAATCAAGACCAAGAGCTCAAGATTTCAAGCCCAAGGGAAGTGGATAAATATTTATATAGTGAAAATCGAAATACTACTTCCAGCCCCTTGTTGAGTTTGTTTCGAGTCCCTTCGTGGTTGGGGACTCTGTGGTGGTGTACCACCAACCTGGACCTCGGCTCTTGAGGCTTGTAGAGGCTGAGAACCATCTCAATCTCGATTCTTCTTGCTAAGGTAGTACTTCTAAGACGATAGTGGCTGCTATACCTCCAGCTAGTCAACCCGCCATAGCGTCACCAAATCTTCATGGAATTTCATAATTCAACTTGCTGCTGATAGGCGAAAGCACCACGCTCTAGATCCAATTTACAAATCACCGTTTGAGGCACACATCAAATCGGTATCAATATTTGAAGCCGTCTGACGGAAATCCGACTGTGCACTCTATCTCTCATTTTAGGAACATCTGAGCCTATTGTGATTATAACAAGTGGTATCAGAGCCCCTTGCAGGCATTTAGACCATGTCTACATCTAGGGAAGGGGGTGGCAGAGGTGCTGGAGGCAGAGAAGATGCCCAAGTACAAGGCCAACACCAAGATCCACCCATTGCTCCCGTGCAACCTAGCTTTGGCCCCTCTAGGGATGAGCCTAGAGTGTTTGGCCTTGACAAGTTCAACAGTGACAACTTTCCTCAGTGGTCCTTCAAGATGGAGAACATCTTTGACCACTATGATCTGCTGGAGGTGATGGAAGGAACGGAGAAGCGCCCCGAGAACGACCCGGAGAAGAGCCCGTGGGTGCGGAAGAGCGCACAAGGTTATCTTCTACTTGGGCAAGCGTTGGGGAGCAGCCAAATCCGTCACAACAAGCCTTTTCAGCGTGAACCAGCAAAGGGACCAAAGGCATGGGCTGCTCTCAAGGGTGTAAACGCTCCTGCAACAACGGCGGTGGCTGTGGTTTTGGAGCGGCAAATGGCGGCACTTCGAATTGACGAAGGTGAACCAGTGGAGGAAGGAGTGCAGAAATTCTTCGACTTGTTAACACGGCTCGAAGGAGCTGAGCTGAACTACAGTGACCTTCAAAAGAAGACCAAGCTGCTGGCCTTATTTCCAGACTCATGGTCCTCGCTCATCATCAACCTAAATCGAGATCTGCCCCGCCTCTCGCTCGAAGATGTGAAGCGGGAAATCTTACAAGAAGATTTCCGCCGTCGCGAATTGGCGGGTCCCGATGGTGCCGGAGTTGCAGGCACGGGCCGTGGGTATGGCTGTGGATGGGGTAGAAGGCAAAGAGTTAGATTTGGCAGCATTAACTTCAATGGAGGCCGTGGTAATGGAGGGTATGGCAGCAACAACAACAATAATGGCTACGGGCGTGGGCGCGGTTGATTTGATGGCGAATGCCACATTTGCCACAAGACCGGCCACATGTGAAGAGATTGCTATAGATTGCCTGATGGATAGACCCCTTCTCAAGGCCAAGAGGGCAGAGGAGCAAGGGAAGGAAGAGGCAGATGTTGTGGAGGTCGTGGTGGTCGTGGAAGCGAAGCGGCAAGCATGAAAGGTGGAGACTACGAGACAGGCCCGAGTGAAGATCGATACCCGAGCCAATTCTTCTTTGTCTCCACGTAAGCGGCAGCTGCAGCAGGAGGCGTGGAAGGCTTTGAAGAGCTAGCTACTGTGGGAAAGGTCACCCTTCACTCTCTGGACTTTTGGGTGATCGATAGCGGAGCCACCTATAGCATGACACATCGTGCGGACTTGCTCACCGAACTCGAACCGTTGCCGGTCGAGCATGTTAAATCGGCTTTGGGGCAGCGAGCAGAGGTGAAAGGCATGGGCAAGGCCATGTTCAAGGGTGCTGATGGGAAGATGGTGGGCCTCAAGAACGTGCTTTAGGTGCCCAACCTCGCAGCCAACCTGATTTCCGTGCGGCGTTTGCAAAAGGCCGGCATGGACACATCTTCCAAGGGATCCAAACCTTATACCGCGAGGCTTGGTGAGCGGAAGCTTTGGGACCTTCATGACAACAGAGACATCTACAATGAGATGTGGCAAATCCCAGTGGTCCCCATGCCTAAGGGGAGGCAGGTGGCAGCAAGCGTCATCACCAAGAGTGAAGCGGTTGGTGGCAGTGATCACGGAAAGCAAAGTGACACCAAGAGGAGTGCAATCTTTGGGAGACCAGCAAGGCGTGTGAACCCAAGGAGAGTAGTGCAGCAGCCAAAAGTAGTGGAAATGAGGAGGAGAAGCCTAAGATCAGCAAAGCAGCAATGGTGAAGGAGAAAGGAGAGAGCTTGTGGGGCACAATTGCGAGTGCCGCTTTCTCCAACCCGACTTCCACTACGGGAGATTGCGATTGGTTGACCTTGCATCGGCGAATGGGGCATGTGGCATTGCCCATTTTGCAGCGGATAGTTAAGCAAGAGATGGTCAGTGGGATACGTGTCAAGGGGGAGCCCAATGAGGTGCTTGGCTGTCCAACATGCATGCAAGCCAAGTTCACCCGCTACCTGTTCCATAGCTCGGAGACAACGGCGAAGGCACCACTTGATGAGGTGGTGATGGATGTGGTGGGCCCCTTGAAGCTTGGAGCTGCTGGAGCTGAGTAATTCCTCACTATAGTGGATGTCTACACTCGCATGACTTGGGTGTATGTGCTGCCCAAGAAGAGTGATGTAGCTGAAACGGTGAAGAACGATTGGTTGCAGATGTTGGAGCGGCAACAAGACCGGCTTGTGAAGGCGATTCGCACTGACTGTGGGGGAGAGTTCCTGAGCAAGGAGTTCTCAAATTGGCTGAAAAAGCAGGGCATAAGGCACTCACTCACCATGCCCTACTCTCTTGCAATGAATGGCATCGTCGAGCGTGCGAATCGGACACTCACGGAGACGGCTCGGGGACTTCTCATTGAAGCCGGTCTACCCAATTACTTTTGGCCGGATGTGGTGCGACATGCTTGTGTGGCCAAGAACAGAGCCTTGAATCATGTGGGAGAAGACAAATTGATGCCCTATGTGGAGTGGATTGGAAGGAAATCAAATGTGGAAATGCTTCGGGTGTTCGGGTGCATGTGCATGGCACTTGTGCCTAAGATACTTCAGCACAACAAGCTTGATGCCAAGGCAACATGGGCTGTGCACCTGGGCATGGCTCAAAACAGCAAGGGATGGCTTCTTTGGGATCCATTTACCAAGAAGTTCTTGGTGAGCAGAGATTGCAAGTTCATGGAGAACTTTCCGTACAAGTGGAAGGCGGAGAACCAAGCGAAGATTGGTGTGCGGCTTGGAGAGGTGAAGAGTACTAGCTTGGAGAATGTGGAGCTGCCCTTGGAGCTGAGTAGAAGCAGCACATCACAAGGCAATCTCCTCAAATGAATGGGGGAGAAGAGGAGGAGGAGGTGCAGCAAGGTGATGAGCATGCACCGTCACTTCCGCCTCGTGCTACAAGTGCTCGCGGGAACCGACCAGATTTGTAGCAACACCATGAGAGCATCCAAGTCCCTGCAGCAGAGGATGAAGGAAGGGAGAGAAGGAAGACTCAGCCCCGCAATAGGTTGAGCTATGACCGGCTTGGAAGACCAGCCAACTCAACCTTGACCGGTTCAGCTCTCATGCTAGGCGATGATGGGGACGATGAAAGCGAGGAGTGCGCTTTTGCCTTCTTCTCTCCGGTGGAGATGCCGTAGGAGCCTACAAATCCCAAGGAGGCTTGGGAGGGCCCCAATGGGAAGGAGTGGAAGAAGGCCTCAGATAAAGAAATGGGGAGCATAATAGAGAACGACACGTTTGACTTGGTGAACCTACCTCCGGGGCGTAAGGCGATTTCTTCCAAGTGGCTTTTCAAGCGCAAGATCGATGCCGACGGCAACATTGAGCGCTACAAGAGTAGACTTGTAGCCAAGGGGTACCTGCAGCAGGAGAAGAAGGACTACAATGAAGTATATACTCCAGTGGTGAAGGGTACAACCCTTCGAACTCTCTTCGCCGCGGCGGCCATCAAAGGATGGGTCGTAAAGCAAATGGATATAGTAACGGCCTTCCTCAACGGATTTTTGGAGGAAGAGACCTTCATGGAGCAGCCAGAGGGGTACAATGATGGGGGCGGCTAAGTGTGGAAGCTGAAGAAAGCACTCTATGGCCTCAAGCAAGCCCCTAGGCAATGATACATCAAGCTGCGGGAAGTCTTGGAGGCGATCGGCTTCACTCCCTCAACGGTCGATCAATCGTTGTTCATGCTTGGCGAGGGGGAGCAGAGGAGCTTCATGGTGGTTTATGTGGATGACATCCTCGTATTCTCACCCTCCTCTGACCTTGTGAAGGAGATGATGCTGAAGCTTCAAGAGAAGTTCAAGTGCAAGACCCTTGGTGACGTCAACTACTACCTTGGGCTTCACATTGAGCGAGATGTGGAGAAGCGGTGGATGCGAGTGCATCAAAAGAAGTACTTGGAGGCCTTGGCTGCAAACTTTGGGAAGAATAAAGGTCATGTGGCTACTCCTCTACCCTCGGGGTTCAAGTGTGTGAAAGGGCCAGCGGAGGAAAGTGTTGGTGAAGAGGAGAGGCGTTGTTTTTACTCCTTGGTGGGCAGCCTCATGTATGCGGCCGTTCACACAAGGCCGGATGCAACCTTTGCTACCGGGCAGCTGGCTAGGGTTGTCCAATGCCCCAATGAAGAGCAGGTAGCAGCTGGAGAGAGAGTGGCCAAGTACCTTGACCAAACAGCAACGGTTGGACTGCAATACTCCGCGGCGGCACAAAGACGTCAAAAGGGTGCGGATGGAGTCGAACCCGGGAGGCTCGTTCTCACCGCTTTCTCTGATGCATCTTGGGCATCAGAACCAGAGAATATGACAAGTGTGGGAGGATTTATTTACTGTGTTGGCAGAGCAAGAAACAAGTGGACCAAGCATTGAGCTTGGTGGAGTCCGAGTACATGGCACTCTTCCGTGCCATAAGAGAGGTTGTGTGGCAGCGGCGTTTGCAAGCTGAATTGGGGGAGGAGCAGCAAGGACCTACCCCACTCTATTGTGATAGCCAGGGTGCTATTGTATTGGCTAAGAACCCCGTACTTCATGGCCTTACCAAGCACATGAAGGTGAAGTGGCATTGGGTGAGGAGCATGGTAACTTCGAGTGAAGTGGAGTTGCACTACGTAAAGACGACGGCGCAGCCAGCTGACATGATGGCCAAGAGGCTGGTTGAGGAGCAGCACTAGAAGTGTTGCAAGCTTGCTGGGATGGCTCTGAACTAAGGGGAGCAGATTCTAAGGCCAACAATCCGAGAGGGAGTTTGTTGGTGCAACCGTATGGCTTGCACTCGGCTTGTCGTCCTTGTTTGTGTGTGTGCATGCATGGCATAAAATGACTTGTGAGTCTATGTCATTGCTATCGAGTACTTGTGTGTGTGTTTGAATGGTGTATCGCAATGTGGTTTGTGTCGGTCAAGACATTAGCGAGTTTTCACAACTTGCATGTCAAGTCGTCGTTTGTGTGTCGCATGTGTTTTTCTATTTTGTCGAGTGTGAAGTGTCCATCGCGTCGCAGGTGTGTGCAGCAAGCCCTCGTCACTTCAAGAAGAATTTATCTTGCAGAATCAAGATGAAGAGCTCAAGATTTCAAGCCCAAGGGAAGTGGATAAATATTGAAATAGTAAAAATTGTAATACTACTTCATGTAGTGTTACATTTCACTTGGTCCAGCCCCTTGTTGAGTTTGTTTCGAGTCCCTTTGTGGTTGGGGACTCTGTGGTAGTGAACCACCAATCTGGACCTCGGCTCTTGGGGCTTGTAGAGGCTGAGAACCATCTCAATCTCGATTCTCCTTGCTAAGGTTGTACTTCTAAGACTATAGTGGCTGCTATACCTCCTGCCAGTCGAACCGCCATAGCGTCACCAAATCTTCATGGAATTTCATGATTCAACTTGCTGTTAATAGGCAAAAAAACGCGCTCTAGATCCAATTTTCTTATTACCATTTGAGGCATACATCAGATCGGTATCAATATTTGAAGCCATCTGACGGAAATCCGACAGTGCACTCTATCTCTCATTTTAGGCACATCTGAGCCTATTGTGATTATAACAGAACACCTCGAACACCTCCAGGGAAAATGGCATACCTTTCTCATCATAGTGCCAAGTTAGCGAGCCAAAAGGCCCTGACGGAGGTGCTCACGAATCAGCGCATCGACGACGATTCTCTGGACGTTCACGACACTGGTGAGCTCCGACTTGTCCCCCGCCCGAGCGCTCTTCCTGCTGACGCAACATCTGTGCAGAAGGCTGTGCACGCTGCTGCTCGTTCCGCCTACTCTGTCTGAGCATCCCGTGATGCCACTGCTCGTGTTGCCATCCTCATGTGCCTGCCGGTTGACACGCACTCCCACTTTGTGGGTGCTGCGTCAGCCCGCGCCCTTTGGCTGGCTATCTTCGATAGGTACTGCACCACGTCGTCTGCCACTCTTGGTCGTCTCCTACTCCCTTTCTTCCAACCCGACCTAACGACATTCACCTTTGTAGCAGACTTAGTCGAGCACCTGTGCTCCCTCGAGGCCCGCTGGCGTGCAGCCTGCACTGAGGCCCGGCTAGCGCTTGCCCCACCCCCCCCCTTTTTGCCACTATCCACATCCTTGTCACCCGCCTCCGTGACCGCCTTGCCCCTGCCCGCGACGTGCTCCTCGCTCGTCAGCCCTCTGAGCTCACCCTTGATCTCTTCTCTACCTCCCTGATTGAAATACCGGACCGCTCCGTGCCATCGCTGGTTCCATTGGCGCGTCGGCAGTCCCTATCTTTCAGGGCAGTGCTCCCTCCGCAGTGACAGTCCCTGATTCCACATCTGTAGCCGAGACTGCAGCGGCTACCTCTGCCCCCGGCCGCTCCTCTGGCGGCAAGGGCAAGGGCAAGGGGGGCAAAGGTCATGAGGGGTTGGCAGTAGTGGGTGGAGGGGGTGCGGGTGCGGACGGAGAGGGTGGTCAATCGAAGTCAGGGACTGCGCAGCAGCAGCAGCAGCCGTAGCTGCTGTGGAGGGCGACGGGCTCAGGGGGTAGTGGTCGTGGTGGAGGCCGTTGGAGTCGGGACCCAGGGCAGTTGGTGCCCTGGGGGTCGCATGGCTCTTCTATGAGTCAGGGTGCACGTGGTTCTGGTGGCGCGGTGACCTGCACGTACCAGCTGATGACTGGCCCGCAGGCAGGCTAGGTGTGCGGGCTTGCATGGCACGCCGCCGCTCGCTGCTTCCGCCGCCTGGACGACCTTTACCGTCTTCAGTTCGGCTCGCTGGTGTAGGAACCCCTCTGGCCTATCTTGCTTCGTCGTGGGGTTCCTATCTTTGATATGGATATGATTCAGATCAATCATGCCTTGTATTATCTGTACTCTGATGCTTCTAGTGTTGTTGGTTCTTATTGTCCTACTATGTGTAGCCTAGGAGCTACTGCTCTGTGTAGTCTAAGATCCCATGTTGCGTCAAGCGTAGAATCCTCTGCTGCATCAGGCGCAAGACCTGTTAGAGATTCTTCACTTGGCCCCGCCATGTCGGTCCTCTCATTTGTCCTAGACTCTGGCGCGTCTCTTTGGATTTTTCGATACAATACTGCTCTCACCCTGCTTCCTGCGCCTGTCCGCGTTGCACTAGCAGACTCCTCTGCCACAGCTGTCGCACGTAGCATCACCACACTCCCCTGTCCAACTGTCCCCTCCGGCTCCCTCACCGGTCTGCAAATCCCCTTGTTTGCTAGGAACCTAGTGGGTGTCGGTCACCTCCAGGGCCGAGGGGTCACCACTACGTTCCCAAGCCGCAAGAGACACGCTGATTGCACAGACACAGCCACTGGTCAACACTTAGCCACTTTTGAGCATGACCCAGGATCAGGTCTTTTGACACTGCACACTGAGTCCCCGCCGGCTGCTGCGTCTGCCGAGGTCGTCGTGTCCTGATCCTGTCGCTCACTAGCCCAACCAACCCTTCTGTGGCACCACCCCTTAGGTCACCCTGCCCTCCCACGTCTTAGGCACATGTCCCAGCACGGTCTAGTCACAGGTCTCCCTGCGTCACTCCCCGCCCTGCCTCCGCCTGTAGCGCCACTATGCACTTCCTACGTCGAGGGCCGGTAGCGCATCGCTACTCACTCCTTCTTGTTTCCTCCTACCACAGGGCCGCTACAGACACTGCACATGGACGTTTGAGCCCCTGTCCCAGGCCATGGTCTTAGTCAGGAGCGCTACTTCCTAGTCGTCATTGACGACTTCTTGCGGTTCACCACAGTGTTCCTGTTGGAGCGGAAGGCCGACTGCCTACCATTCTCCTCCCGTGGCTTCTTGCTGTTTGCACCCATCACCGCCTGCCAGTAGGTCGCTTATATTCTCACCGTGGTGGCGAGTTCGCCTTTGGCACTCTAGGTTAGTTCTGTCGTGCGAAGGGCATCCGCCAGACGTACACAATACCGGACTCCCCACAGCAAAATGGGGTTTCTGAGCAACGCATCGGCCTGGTCATGGAGATAGCCCGCACCTCTATGGTGCACGCCGGTGACCCCATTTTTGGTGGTCATTCGTCGTGCACTACACAGCTCACCAGCTTAACCTGTGGGCGCTCCCAGCGGCCACTGGTTTCGTGGACCCTTCTCTGGACCGGGTCTCCTGGTGACGCGTCTGTGTTCCACGTCTTAAACAGCCTTGCTCATGTTCGCGACACTGGCGTGAATAAGCTCTCAGCTCGCACCCTTCCTTGTGTCTTCCTGGGGTTTCCGCTTGACACCCCTGACTGGCTGTTCTACCACCGGACAAACCATCGCTTCTACCGCTCTCATGACGTTACGTTTGACGAGACGCTCTCCTTACTACTGGCGCTTTCCACACCGCAATGCTTCCAGTGCCTCCTCCTCCTCTCTTCCTTGTCCCTGCCCCACCTACCGCACCCCTCCCACCCTGCCTGGCCCAATCTGGTGTCTCCCACGCCACTCAGTTCCCCTCGGTTGGGCCCGTGGGAGAGTCGGCTGACTCTGGGGGGGCGCCTGCTGTCCCTAAGGTGCCTCCCCCAGCCTTGGTACTCCAGGCACCTCAGCCGCCTCCTCCTTTGCCTCAGCAGCTGCAGCCGTCCCCGCAGCAAACTCAGCGGCCGCAGTAGCAGGAGCAGGGAGCAGTGGGCTCTAGGGATGCTGGTTCTGGGGTGCTGGTGTTGGCGGTGTTGGTGTTGGGGGTACTAGTGTTGGTGGGGTTGGTGTTGGGAGTGCTGGTTCTGTGGGTGCACGTTCTAGGGGTGCTTACTCTGGGGGCACTGGTTCTGTGGGTGGTACGTCCAAGGGTGCTAGTCCTGGGGGTGTTGTTTGGGGAAGTGCCAGTGGTAGACAAGGTGCAGCTGGAGGTTCTGGAGAGGATAGGGACCAGCACTAGCAGCAGCAGCAGCAGGAGCAGCCATAGTCTGCTCTTCGCCTCCTTGGGCTTGCACCCAGTTCCCCTGACCAACTGACCGTCCCTCCTCCGGTGCGTTACCCTGTTTACAGCTCGCTGTTCCCTCCCCCGGACTCGTCTCCCGCTCGTTTTCCCCTGCGCTC